GTCCATGGCTGTCATGGAAGCCATGAACTCCTGTGCTCCATCCTGTGCTCCATCAGAGCGTTCGCCGAGCGACAGCAGGTTGAAATCCGCCAGCACTATAAGCCTGGGGAACTCAACCACCAGTTCGGCTCCTGACTCAAGGAGCATAGGCAGGGCTGTTGTAACGCAGTTGGGAGGTAGGTACATTAGAAACAGACCCACTTGACCCCCAAGGTCCAACTTGACCAGAAGGGACTCACACCCGACAGTCTCCAGAGCAGGGATCCTACGAGGGACTATTGCTAGGTGCTAATTATGAATACCATATTTTTCGGAGTATAAGACACACCTTTTCCTCCCCAAAAAGAGGGTGAAAAGCTGGGTGCATCTTGTGCATTGAATACAGCATTTTTGCCCTACCGAAACTTCACCCGTTTTGCAAAAATAGACGTGCAGAGGCTTGCAAAGTGCTCCTGGGGATTGGGGAGGTAAAAAATGAGCAAAAATGGGCCACATTTTGCTTGTTTTTGGGCCCCTCCAACCCCCTAGGAGCACTCTACAAGCCTCCCAAAGCTCTGCATGCCCCCCCTTTTTTGCAAAAAAACCAAGGTGTGCAGATGGTTTGGAGGCATGCAGAGTGCAAAAACTTTTTTCAAAAAAATTACCTCTTCAAAATTGTGGTGCATCTTATACTCCAGTGCATCTTATAGTGCAAAAAATACGGTACATATTTCAATGCATTTTAATATGCTTTGATGATTTATCAGCATGTTTTCAATAAAAACCAGTGATACCCATTTTAATGATTTGGGGCTTCAAATGACACAGTTATGATCATCTGATGGATGTTGATAAAGTAGCAAAGACATGCAGATAGTCCTGGATTTATAACCATTCATTCAGTGACTGTTCAAAATTACAATAGCTTATGACTGGTCCTCACATTTTATGACTGTCATAGTATTCCCATGGCCATGTGAACAAAATCTGGACACTTGGCAACTGACATGCACGTACTGATCATTGCAGTGTACTGGGAATCATGTGATTGTCATTTGTGAACTTCCCAGTTTCCAACAAGCAAAGTCAATGGGAGAAGTTAAATTCACTTAATGATCATGTGATTCACTTAATAATTGTGGTGATTTGCTTAACAACCATGACATGAAAGATTGTAAAATCAGGCATGACTCACTTAACAATTGCCTTGTTTAGAGATAGAAATTCTGGCCCCAACTAGCACTGTAAGTCGAGGTATATCTGTATGAAGGAACTTTGGCTGATCTCCCATATTGAGATGGAAGCTTCCTCCCTTGTTTATATTCATCATCTTTGTTTTTATCATGCCCTATGCTAAAGTTTCAGAATAAGAAAAAAAGGAACATATTAATGGTGTATATCAAGGTAATGTGTTCCCATCATGTTTGTGGGTTTCTTAAAATAGATGTACAGTCAAAACCACGTAGGTAACTTGATGGCCTGGGTCACTGGAACCAACAGCAACCCAGTCCTGCCATGCCCCCCAAACTGGTTTTCCTACGGCCCTGCCATCCTGATTTTCGGTTCTGCGCATGCACAGAACAATTTTCAGTGCTGAAATGTATTTTTTTCCCCTTTTCTAACAGTTTGCACATGCAGAGACCTTTTTAGTTGCAAATGCGCATGCGCATGTAGCGTGTGTTTGGCGTGTGTGTGAACAAAGCAAGTGCACATGTGAAAAAAAATTTGCACCCCAAACTGGCAGTAATGGTGGCAGCAACCCACCCCTGGATCTACCAATGCACAGGTCTAATAATGTGTACTGTAGACAAAATTATGGCAAAGGTCTAGGTACGATTTTTTTTCAAACTTCCTAGACCACAAAATCTAATACAAGAATATCTGGAACTACTGCTGCCTGCTTCACATGCACCTAATATGAAGATTCTTCATGAGCACAAACACTTCCAGGGGGAGGGGAGGTCTCTGAATCGAACAGCAAGCTTTGCCCTTTCCAATGAACTATATAAAAATTGGTTGCATTCAAATGGTTTTGTGGGGTGGTGGTTGGTTCTCTCTTAGTTTCTCATGGAATTCTACCAAGTTCTGAACCTTGAATTTGGAAGCACACTGTTTGAAAACTCTTTATCTAGAGCAGTGGTTCCCAACCTTTTTTTGGCCATGCCCCACCTAAGCATCTCTAAAACCCCAATCCCTCCCCCCATGACATATATTTCCTACCTTAATCAAAAAGTGAACTCTACTCACATGGAGGAAGCCTAAAAGGACTTTTCTCCATTAAAAATCAAATTACCATCCTGTGGAGCTTGGTCCCACGTTGGGAACCACTGATCTGGTGCATAGATCCTATCTCTGCCAGAATGTTAATTTAAAAAATGGGACCTCAGGATGGAAGTAGTCCCCACTCTAATCTTATTCAACCTTTTTCCATTTTGAACATCAGTATATGATGACAAAATAGAATTAATACATGTAATTTATTTACAATATAGGTGATTGTTCTGGATACATGTAGAATAGCAGTTTTGTATCTGTGTGGATAACTTTCTTCCAAAAGTGAAGAAAATGTAATCTCAGAATGGAAAGAAAAAGTTGACAGCAACTAAATGAAACTGCTTTAAGGAGAGTTGCATTGTTACAGAAAAATAGTATTCTAGTGTATTGTATCTGGGCTTATTAAACCTTGGCTACAAAAAACATGAAGAGGACTACTCTTAAAGGGAAAGTTGGTGTCATCAAACAAAACTAGTACAGACACTATCAATTGTTCTCTCCTAGACAATACCTTCTCTTATATTCCAGAGGTCTTCAAGCAATTGTACTGCCTTGACAATGCCTTGGAGGAAATATGTCAGATGCTATATTTAACCCTGGATACATTAAATAGACTTTTAGCTATTTACAGAATAAAAAAGGTAACACGGGCATAAAATTGGATTACTTTTAGAGGAGGCTTTTGAAAAATAAGAAAAAGGTAAAACAGTATATATGGGGAGGAAACCAATTCCATGCACAAAACAAGAAAAACAAGGAACAGAAGCTGGGGTGGCTAAGGGATCAAAGACCTTGACATGAATGAAGGTAGAAGAGATGTAGTAGAGAAGGCTCAAGTGGAATACGCAAAGAAATAAGAGAAGCAATGAGAGGTTAAGGCAAAGCTATGAAGAAACTTACGAGCCGAGTGGTTTGTATTTATAGTGAAGTGATAGGTCATCAGAACAACTTGTTACAGTTTTAAAGGCTTTCTCAATTTCTTTCAATCCAGTTTATTAGTTTGCACTTATTTTTTTTTGCAAAACAAGTCTATTAATACAAAAATGGCAAATGAAAGTGCATGCAAAATTTACAAAGTAAAAAAAATAATAAACAGATAACTAAATATACACAAGAAAAATCCACACAAAATATATTCAGTTTTAGACATTATACTATTGTTTTATCTCAGGTATGTATTTATTTTCTGCTCTTGCTACTTTCAATTGGTTTAAGAGCTGAACATCATTCAATGAGATGGCAGCTGTATAATTTAATAACATTACAAATGCTTTCAGAAAAGCTTTTTCTTTTGAAAAATTGGATGATGTTTAAATTGATGTAAACTTACATGGTGTTCATTTATATTGCAACAAAATAAGCAGCTCTTAATTTTGAGTAAACCTGTCTATAATTATACAAGAAAATCATTATTTCTATGCCGTTCTTTTTTTTAATGTGCCAGTTGTTAATAATATATTTTGGCTCTATATTCAGCATGCTTAATTGAATCATTGAGAAAATTAGTGTACTGTAGAAGCACCAAAAAGAACTCAGTTGATTCTATCAATAAATTTATAGGGTGCTAAAGTGGTAATAATAAATAAAAATAAAATAATAATAAAAATAAATTTATAGGGTGATTAGCTCAGTGGCTAAGACACTGAACTTGTCGATCAGAAAGGTCAGCAGTTTGGCAGTTCAAATCCATAGTGTCGCATAATGGAGTGAGCTCTCATTACTTGTTCCAGCTTCTGCCAACCTAGCAGTTCGAAAGCATGTAAAAATGTGAGTAGAAAAATAGGGACCACTTTGGTGGGAAGATAACAGCGTTCTGTGCATCTTCAGCATTTAGTGATGCCAGCCACATGACCATGGAGATGTCTTTGGACAGCGCTGGTTCTTTGGCTTTGAAATGGAGATGAGCACAACCCCTAGAGTCAGGAACGACTAGCACATGTGAGGGGAACCTTTACCTTTACCTTTTTAAACTTAACCCCAAGCAGGTCCAATCATAGAGTAAACTAATTCAACAGATCAATTACCTTGTGAAGAAACCTAAATACAGTCAATTGACCTGTTTTGCATCCCTGGACCCCAGCCCCTCAAATCCTCAGCATTTGGGAAAGTATGGTTGTCCATGAATCCTGAAAACATTCTCCACATCTCTGACTGCAGTTGCCAAACAACGCCTTCTTGCTTCTAGTCAGCCAATGGGGAAGAAGCTAGTAGTGCCATGAATCCTTACCAGCACTCACATAGCTTAAGAGTTCAGGGATGCCACCTCCTGAAGCAAATGAGTTCTTGGTACCTCAAATGGTAATGCTTACGTAATGTGATTGTGTACTGCCAAACTACTGATTATGTGATCTCACTTGCTAAGGGGATGATTGGATTAAGCATTTTATGAGAATAGAGTTACTGTGTATTATTTACTCTATTTACATCATTTAATTACAAAACTGAATAATAATCAATAGATTCCTAGGCTGCATGATAAACAGCCTACTGTTTATTTTTTCTGGTGGTCTGCTGAGCCATTATTAGTCTAGTTTATCTCTTATTTCTAGATTAGGAATGTTAGTTGAAAATGTTTTTTTAAAAAACATTTAGGAAATATTCTTTGTCTACAGGCTAACAAAGTGAGCGATAATGATCTATGATATAAAATTATCTGACATAATTAAAGGCAACAAAGAGAGAAAATACAGTCTAAGTAAGCCCTGAATGATAGAATTTCACCAGAGAACAAAATGCTTTTTCAACAGTTACCTGTAGATGGCATTCATCCCATTGCTGTACGTGGCTCTTATAAGAAGTCTTTTTATATTAGCCAAAACAGTCATAAATTCCCTTTTGCTGACTGGGGCGCCGTGCAGCATGAATAAGTTGTGCTTCAGTAAGACTTCTTCTGTGTGCTCTTCAAATGGGTTCAAGTGAATTCCTTCCTGCAATGTGCTTATTCTCAACCCACTTCCCTAATTATAAAAAATGACAAGGATGAAAACACTTAAAAAAAACAAAGTTTCAGTGCTGCATTATTAAAGAGCAGAACACCTTGATATGAATGCATACTGCGTGGTGTGTTTTATACAGATGAGGTACTCTCTAGAAACAATACCACTGTCTCCAGGAAAACATGGCCAACAATAGAAAAAGGTAAATCAGATCACCTGTTGGAAACTGGTATCACATATTTATATTCTCTTGAACATAGATAGAATTCTGTCTGGGATTCATTATTAAGTAGTTCATAGGTAACACAAAATGAATATATAAACAATATAAGTAGCACATGCTATGTCCAGAGTATTCAATCAGATAACTTTTATATTATGCTTTAATAATGCTTCTATGCAGAGCTTGGAAGGAATACTTTGATTCAATAAAGGTTTCTTCTTAAAACAGTGTTGTAAAGCACAGCACACATGTGTGTGCATGCACAGCAACACATGCACTTCAATGAAATAAAGCAGTCACACTCCTCTGTTTTGAATGGTCTTCTAGAGTAGCTAAAGGCCTATAGGCATGAGCTGAAACCTCTTCTGGTATTGGAAGAGCCCTTGTACATTTTGCTGAAACAAAGCTAGGTTGCATGAGAGGAATAATATCATTTTAAAAGAATGGGTTTTATTTTCAATGTCTATTTGACTGCCATTTTTGCATGTTATTACACATACTGTTTGTGTGCATCTTTCTAAAATAAATAAAATTTAACAATGATTACCTAAAAGAGTAGCCCTTTTGTGGCTGTGATTATCATGTTCTGGGATGATTTACATCTTCTGGAATATTACTTAGCATTAATGCAATCCCTTTCCTTCCCATTCAAGGATAACACCTAGCCTACATAAACTGTGTACCTAATAACATAAAAGGATGACATGGTATAACATGTAATGTGTGGTTGTTCATCTGAAGTTGTATTTACCTACTTTTAAGAACTGCTAAGGACCAGATGATATTTACTAAGTCCTGATACTTAAAACCATATAATTCAGAGAATGCACTTATTTTTTACATGACTGTGTGTGTGCGTCTCTCTCTCTCTCTGTGTGTGTGTGTAGATGTATAGATGGAGAGGAAGAGAGACAGACAGACAGAGGCAGAGACAGATATGATAGAGAGAGATATTTGTATGTGTTTGTGTGTTATTGTATATAATATGTTGTTGTTGTTAGTTGCAAAATCATGCCCAACTCATCACGACCTCATGGACAATATTCCTCCATGCCTTCCTGTCCTCTACCATCCTCTGGAGTCCATTTAAGCTCACGCCTACTGCTTCAGTGACTCCATCCAGCCACTTCATTCTCTGTTGTCTCCTTCTTTTGCCCTCAACCTTTCCCAGCATTAGCCTCTTCCCCAGTGAGTCCTTCCTTCTCATTTGGTGGCCAAGGTATTTGAGTTTCATCTTCAGGATCTGGCCTTCTAAAGAGCAGTCAGTTGATCTCCTCTAGGACTGACTGGTTTGATCACTTGCAGTCCAAGGGGCCCACAGGAGTCTTCTCCAGCACCATAGTTCAAAGGCCTCAATTCTTTGGCACTCAGCTTTTCTTATGGTTCAACTTTCACAGCTTTAACTGAACATTAAGATAAACAGTATATACAAACAATAAAACAAATCCAATAAAACCAAAATCAGAATGACCTGCTACCACAATTATACCTCACTCATGCCAATCTCACCCTAGACCAGCTCTTGAAGTAAAAGTCATGTCTTAAGTACTTTTCAGAAGATAAAAAGGGTAGAGCCTACTGGCTCTCAAGGGGAAGGGTGTTTCTGCTGCCCTCTTTCCCATCTTTGAAATAAAAATCATATGGTAGCTCTTTTCAGGAAGAGAACTCTTGCAGTAAGTTTCTTTCTTAGCCCTATGGATTCTGTTTACAGTGTGCTATTGGCAGTTTTTACTCATCCATATCTAGTGAGATAATACTGTACCTCTATGATGACATCGGGCTGAAGGACGGCCTCAGCAATATCTTCTTCCCCAGCTAGGTCATATGAAACAGTAAATTTCAGATGTCCTCCAGCAGCTGTTATCTGTGGTTAAAGGGGAAAAAAAGAACGATACTGGTTATATAATAGAAAACATGCCTTTAACCATTTTGAACAGCTCTTTTCCAATTATAGGACTTTCAAGGGCAAAGACTTCTCACGTAATGAAAGGACATGTGGATGATAGAGAGCTCCCAGGGAAGTGTCATTGTGAGCTGTCGCTGTCCTTACACAATCTCTCTTTGCCACAACTAGTGCGGCAATGCTCTGTCGTTTAAGTAATGTTCCTCTAGACCCTTTGTAAAGACTGGCATCTTAAGAAAAAGCAGTTTCCCCCTAAAGGTCTACCATAAAGGAAGTAACATATGTTACAGTATAATTTTCTTTTCATCTTTCTCTCTCGATCTCTCGCTTCTTACTATTTTTATAAAGCTCCCCAACATGTATTTGGCTGATATTATATTGTCAAAAGCAGGTGGAGGGATTGGGGGGATACGTGCTCGTTTATCTTTCCTGCCATTCGCAGTTTCTTCCCCATGTCCATTTTCCAGGTCCGGAGTTACTACAGAGGCAATCTGTGACAGCAGCTTGGAGGAGTAGACTGCTATTACAGAATGTTTTTTTTTCCTTTTTGACAAAGTATAATCTAAAATAGAAGAAATGTGTCCCTAGGAAGTCAAGCACATTTAATTTAAAGGAAAGTCACTATAATTTTTCTTATAGTTGCATATTGCCTTTTGCTTCACATTGATCACTGGTTCAAAAACAGCATAAAGCCAACAGTCCTTTGACTCTTAAAGTACTATAATGTTACATCGTTATATATATTTTGTTAAGCATTAACACTTTACTGATTGTGTTTGGTGTAGTGGTTAAGGCATCAGGCTAGAAATTGGAAAACCATTGAGTTCAAGTCCTGCCTTAGACATGAAAGCCAACCAATGACTTTGGGCTAGTGTCTCTCTGTCTGTTTCTGTCTCTCTGTCTGTCTGTCTCTGTGTCTCTGTCTGTCTCTGTCTGTCTCTCTCCCTCCCTCCCCTTCTCAGCTCAAACAACCACATTGGGTTGCTGTTCTGAGGAAGGTGTATTGGATATGTTTGCTGCCTTCAGTTATTTGTAAAATCAATAAAAGTGGGACATAAACAAGCAAAATTCCAGGGGAAAAGCAAATCAATCATATATAAAAAGGATTGCAGTAATTTTGCTTAATTATTGAAGTAAAAAGAATTCATTTTTAAGTTATTGGAATAAAGCAAATTTCATTGTCAAATATAAACAAAGGGCTGAGAATCAGAAAGCCCATACCACCACTGTGTACTCATGCAGCAAGTTCTCGACAGAACTTTACCTTGGAATTGAATAAGGAAGGCCTCATATTTTTTTGTTTAACAATACATTTGTGTTATCTGCCAAAATATACGGAGTGTTGTAATAGAATGTGCTAACATCCATTCTTCTTGATTCAGCTTTTTCATACAAAATAATATACCTTTGGTGAAGAAGTATGAAAAGCTACATTTGCAGAAGCTACATGTCAAAGATATGTATATTAGGGAAAGCAGCATATAAAAATGCCAATGAGGAAGAGTTGTGCATTATGGAAAACAGGACAAGTGAAACTGTGTTTCATAAAATGTGTCCAAAATGTATATGTTAAGGAAATGACTTACAATAAAGGGGGGCTATGAAACAACAGTCGAGAGCAGGATTAAAGTCTTAAAAGAAATGAGGTAAGAAAGCCACAAGCTTTTTACTATAACTATAACTATAACTATAACTATAACTATAACTATAACTATAACTATAACTATAACTATAACTATAACTATAACTATAACTATAACTACAACTACAACTACAACTACAACTATAACTATAACTATAACTGAAGAATATCTACTAGGAAACTAAACGTGGGCCTGGCTATTCAGAGAAAGGTGATAAAACTTCAAGGACACCTTCTGGGCAATTAGGTGGTATTTGGACCGCCTACGTTTAGTTACGGTTAGTTTGGACCGGTTTGCCCGAACCTATAGCAGAAATTGTGAGTGGACCTGCCCACCTACCCCGGCTCTATGCTGTTTCTTTTAGGCACTTTTTTTAGCCACAATGCATGCGCTGCAGGCTAAGCACATGCATGGAGGTGGCACACATGTGAGCGAAGGTTTGCGAACCTAAGCAAAGGTAAATGAATACCAACCCTGCATTAGCCTACTAATCTTCTGCACCTAATGTTTTGCACTCCTATAACAATGTGGACAGAACTAAATGTTGATAGATGATGCTAAAGAATTGTATAAGTGACTAGTGTGGAAACTACTTGAGATTGCCCTAAAGATACTCAGTAGGGAACTTACAGCTGAATTTTAATAATAGAAAACAGTTTAATCAGATTGATTTGCCTGATTGCCATACTTGGTATCTGAGCTAAAGACAAGACACACCAAGAAACCTACTTAGATAACCTACATAAATATGAACTAACTTTGATCAATGGCTTCTGTTAAGCGTCATTAACCACAGGTGATTTCAAATCAGTTTCAGGCAGGTCTGGATAAGTAACATAAGTTACAGGTATTCGTCCTGTGATGGCCAAAGATTAACCAGGAAATAGAAAGCTGGGTAGCCACCTACCAGCAGTGCCAGCAATCTAGATCAGCCCCACTTCTGTGCCCATCAGGGAATGGACATGCCCCGGGCTCCAAGGGCACAAGTCCATTTGGACTTCGTTGGCCTGTTCTTGGGACAGAACTTCTTGGTCCTCATAGATGCCTACTCGAAGTGGGTGGAGCTGGCACTTATGCCCTCCACCATTTCAGAGGCCATAATTAGGGTGCTGGGGAGGCTATTTGCCACCCATGGGTTGCCCGATGTGGTGGTGGTGACTGACAATGGGCCCCAATTCACGTTGGCACCCTTCCAGATGTTTTTGGGCCAGCATGGCATATGACACGCCCCGACGGCCCCATTCCACCCGGCCGGAAATGGCCTGGTAGAACGAACCATCTGGTTGATTAAAGAGGCATTGGGCCACCTGGGGCCAGGGAATTGGCAGGACAAGCTGCCCCAATACCTCCTGGCACAGCATACAACCCTGTGCCCAATCACCAAGCAAAGTCCCATAGAACGGCTTATGGGTCGTCAGCTCTGGACAACCTTGGACCGACTACACCCTGGTTATGCACCAGAGAAAAGTCCCCTCGCAGGCAACTCCACACGGGCCTTTAATGTGGGAGACCCAGTCTATGCCCAAAACTATGGGGCCAACCCAAGGTGGCTGCCCGGACAAATCACACAATTAACTGGACCCCTACTCTTATAGGGTCCAGCTCAGTGACGGGCAAATGTGGCGCCGACACGTCAACCAGCTCAGACAGTGTGCCACCATTGCAGGAGACCAGCACCCGGTGCAGGCCCAATCCTGCCCCGTGGAACTAATGCCAACAGAGGCTGCTCCAGTGCAACCAGAAACACACACAACACCCCCCACTGATGCGTTATTGTCGCCAGGTTTACCTGAAAATCCGGTCAGTCCCATGGCGGTCAGGTTTCCCGCCGACTCCGATGCGCAGTCTCCTGAAGTACCACAGGACTCTCCCCCAGCTTCTCCTCCTTTGGCCATCGCCCCTGAACTAAGATGATCGGGGCAGAGCCGATGCTGGTCAGCGTACTTGGCTGACTACACATGTGCTAACTGGGAGGAGAGGGGAGTTAAGTCCTTGAGGCTATGATGCCATTGACTATTATTGGTGGCTCCTGATTGGTTAAGACACGAGCAGCCAGCTGGCAGGAGAATGCAGCCATTCTATTGGTTCAGCATCTGACAGCTCCAGTATAAAAAGGACTGTCAGCTGTCAAATGTTGCTGTTTGCCTTGCATTTTGCCTTGTTAAACTGTGTTAGCTTCAATCTGCCTTGCCTCAGTTGCTGCCTGCCTCGTTCTCCCTACAGAACACTAACTGTCAGGAAATTTCTCCTCAGTTCCAAGTTGCTTCTCTCGTTGATCAGTTTCCACCCATTGCTTCTTGTTTTACCCTCAGGTGCCTTGGAGAATAGTTCGACTCCCTCTTCTTCGTGGCAAC